CCGCCGATGCGCCGGGAGCTCCCAGCAAAACGCCGGGTCCTGAGCAAAATCCTGCATGCCGCAAGGCAGCGGCTGCTCCGCTTGCACTGCGCTTTGTGCAGCTCCCGCTGCAGCGATGCACCAAGGGGAGACCTCCCCGGTCCCCTCCTCATGCAAAAGGGACCTTTCCTGCATGCAAAAGGGACCTCCCCGTGTGCGAGGAGCCACGCTGGCCCCAGCTCTGTGCCAGCAGGGCCGCCAGCCGCCCCGGCTCCCGGCTCCAGCTCGTCTTTCCGACCTTTCCTCACGTTCCTGGCTTCCTCCCGGGCATCCTGCCACCCCCGAGCCGCCGCGTCCCGCTCTGCCCATGAAAACTCTCCTATCCTGCTGCCAAGCTCCCGCCGTGGCCAAGGAGCCGGTGAACAAACGGGCCGTTTGAGAGGGGAAGCCCGCGGCGCCCGCGCCCCCCGGCGTGCCTCCCGAGCCTCCAAGCCGGCGCTGGGGAAGCAAGCGGGGACGGATGAATCGGCCACTCACAAACCCGCTTTGATTTGAAGCCCAGCAGTGCATTAAAGGGAAAACTAAGAGCCCCAGCGGCCGATGCACCACGTGCTCGCGGGTGCCCGCTCCCTGCAGCGTCCCGGTGCACGGGCGGCAAACGCCGATGGAAGCACCGGGCTGCGGCTCTCACACCGCCTGCCCCGGGCGGTTTTCTCATTTTCCACACCGGGAACAACAAGGAAACAAGCAGCTTCCCGCCCGCCGCTGGCATTTCACGCTCCGCCAGCGCAGGGCCGGTCGATGCCGGGTGGTTTTTAGATCAACAAGCGAAGGGGACAGGTTTGCAGGCCGGGATGGCTGCAGGTTGCAACGGGCAACTCACCGCTCAGGGCCGCCGTTGTGTTCTCCAGGGCATGGCACACGGCTACGAAGACGCCTGCGGAGAGATTTGAGACACGAATCAGAGGAAGAGCACAGAAGGACCCATGCTGAACACTCAAAACTGGGAGAAATGAGAGCTTATAAAAGGTTTATAAAAGGGTAAGAGTCCCATTGAATGTCCTAGCGTTTATAACTGGGATGGAGACGAAAAACAATCTCCAGTTTGCATGTAAAATATGCAAGTCGGTGTGCTTCGCAACAGCAGACTGTAGTGCATGTCCACATAAACAGGCAAAAAAGGATTTCCTCTGATCACTGTGCACAATAAATAAGACTGTAAAACACGGTTTTCAAGGTCCCCAGCAACATTCATCCAAAGAAAGTACTCAAGACCCTAAAAAGCTCTCACAAGGCAACACCCTGAGTGTAAGCAGCAAATGGACGTCTCGCGGGCCACGCTGTCACACGGCAATGTTTGGGACATCACCTTCATGCTCTTTGCAGTTAATAGCCCAGCCGCATAATTGCACACAATTCCCACAAATCCCAGGTCATCCCAACTCTGGTTTTCTACCGGCTCCCATGCCTGTGCAGGACAGTACGTGCCACGAGTTTGCTTATCCCAAAGCCACCATCCTTTGGCACGACTGTGTCCTCCTTAGTCCAAGGATGCTGCTCCTCTCCACGCTTCCCATCCCAAATCTCACCAGTAAACGTGAGGAGCACCAAGCAGTTGGCTGTCCCAGGGTCCAGCCATGCCAAACCCAGAGTCACCTCACCTTACCGGAGCACGTGGCTTTTCCCACACGGTTTTGTGGGAATTGCACACGCATTTGGCAGCCTCCAACGCGGAGCCACCTTCCAACGCTGCGCCCAGGGCAGCACGGAGCCGGCGGGGGAGGCGATGCCCTTTCCATTACACCAGCGCAGATGTTTCCCGGCCGGAGCTCTGCCCTATCCATATGCGGCCTCTGACAAATTGACAGCACCAAGATTATTTGTAATAAATAAAGAAGTAATACCTCATGCAGCAGGCAGAGGAAAATCCACAGTCCACAACGGGCTCCGCCTGACCACCGATTCAGTAGGGCTGACCCAGGCTCTGATGCTGGAGATTTCTGCATTGACTAGTTTAACCCAGCACGTGTTTCTTTTTTTTTCTTTTTTGGGGGCAAACTGAGGCATCTAAACCCCACTTGGATGCAATGAGCTATCAGAATTGAAAACGTGCCACTGTCTAATAGCAGCTCCTTCCTCCTCATCAGGCTCCAGACCCACCACCCCTGCAGTCCCCATGTCCCACAGCTTCCAATGTGGAGAGTTCCACATCAATCCTCTAGTCACACGAAGGGGCTGGATTTCAAGAACAGGGAATATGTTAAAACATGTTTTTGAGGGGGCTATCAGACCCCTAACAGAATCACCTGGGCCAGAGGAAGTCACGCATGCAACAGGCAAGCATGAATCAAAGGAGTGAGCATGGAAAGTCCTAGCTGGCAGCAAAGGCGGACTCCAAAGCGCACATGGAAACACCCGGGTCCCCCCGGATGCAGGCGAGTTTCACTGCAGGAACAGGGAGCGCGCTTGGGCTGCCGGCCAGGAGCTGAAGTCATGGCTTCTGGCTTACGTCTGGCTCTGCGCCGCTTGATCTCCGAGAGTGACTTCAGAGAGGAGCAGCAACGTGCCCAGCTGTGCTGGATACATCCCGCGGGAAGAACCACCCGGCAGCATCGAGCGGTCGCCTTCCCCCTGAGAACGAGCCCCAGCGCAACAGCGACCGATAAATCCAATGGGGGGGAAACCCACGCACGCGGCAGGGAAACCCACGCATCCCGCAGGATTGCGCCGGACACATCGATCCCAGCGCGGGAAGGCAGATGGGGCCAGCAGATCTCCCCTGGCCGTGGCCACAGGCACGTGTTTGACCCAGTTACTGGCAGCGCTTTGATGCGGCCGCGCGAACAGCCTTGAGCTGAAGACAACAGCAGCGGGGACGCAGAGCGGCCGGCGGGCTTGTTTGCTCACTTAATCGCGCCAGGCAAAAAGCATGGGAATTCTCGCAGCTATAGGCTACAACCCTCTACACCACATATCCTGCCTGCTCCCTGTAGCTTCTCCTTAGGGAAAGTTACTCGGAGGCAAACCCACTCCTTCTTGGCTGCCTTTTTGTGTTGCCAAGCCGGGCTGCCCCGGCTCAACCCCATGCCGCTCGTGCCACTGCTCCTGCTCAGCTCCCGGCTGTTATAACGGGCACAGAGAGGGCTTGGATGCTGCTTCTTCCCAGATGCCTCTGCAGGGGCAGCCCTTCTGCCAATGGGTATAGCATGTCGCCTTCAAGACACTTGTTTGAGCGCGGCCAGCTAAGAAAGCAGTCGAGCTCACCCCATGAGATCACCTTGGCCTTCGCGACTACTCCACCTACCTCTGCGTCACCTCTGGCTTTCCAGTTGGCAACGATTTTGCACCGATGACGTGGGCTTAGGGCTGCACCCGTGCAAGAAACACCCCTCTCACCCCTAGGGATTTCCCCTGCACGGCCAGCGCGGACTCCCCGCGTGTTGTTCACTGGGGGCATCCCTGACACATCCAGGAGAGTCAAGCGCTTTACGCAGTTACTAATACCATACTAATACCACCCTGACTTGAGATCCCCTGAATGGCAAGAGGGTAAAAGTGCCCTTGGCATCACTGCTTTGTCTCAAACACACTGGGGATGCATCCACTGCAGACCCCACTTCTCCTCCACTGCCCGTGGTGATGCCCATACCAGAACAGGCTCCAACGCTGTGGGAACCTCTCTTGCTCGCAGCGCATCTCAACGTCCCGTTTCCCTCTGTGTTGCCAGCCCCGGGTTTCTCCCTTCCACAGCCTGCCCAGCTTCCCGGATGGGCTTCCCAGCCCGTAGTCCCATCACTCACGCTGCTGCCATATCACTTGGTGCCATCTCCCTGCACATCCTGCATCCGCACCCGGACCAAGGGACAACGTAGCTTCTCCGATGACTAATAAGGCTCTTCTTGAGGAGCTCCTGGCTATCACTGGGGTTTGTTTCCTGCCTGAAGTTTTCCCTCCTAATCAGCTCGGCTCATATTTTCCCCTCAGCTCTGGAGATTAGCCCTTCGCAGCCACCAGGTGCATATATATAGCACGGGAGAAGGGCGAGTGGGAGGAGGCTCCAGCTTCCCTTGTTATTTTAGGCCAACACTCCAAACTATTGTTTGGAGACAGTTTGCAAAAGTGCTCGTCTCAAGATGCAACATCTGAGATGTTGCAGAGACCTAAACAAAACCCGGGCTCGAGGCCGACAGAAACCAGACAGTCCCTCATGTATAACCAAGGCAGAGCTGGGTGCTGCACCAGGAAGGGAGGCCAAGACGACCAAGAGCTTCAGATGCAAAAGTCCTGATTGGTCCCTCTGCTGGGTCCAACCAGTGGTTTTCAGAGCTGCAAGCGCACGGCTCAGCACCCAGAGACGGGGACTGCAAGCCCAGCAAGCGTCCCAGCCTGCGAAGGCTCCCGGCATAGCAGGGTGGAACAGGGCCAAGAGCAGTTGCTTTCCTGAACCAAGTGCTCTGAAGGGCCTCACTTATTTGAGCCACCGCTTGGTTTGCATTGCATTTCCCTGACCCCAAGTCGACCACAGAGTCGATGAGGTTTAAGAGGAAAGCAGTAACAAATGCTGGGTCCTCGGGGCCAGGCGCGCACGTCCATGCACACACACAACCTTCCCCTCCCTAGGTTGGGCCTCTGGGTAAAACAGAGGGAAAAACTCATGCTCCTTCTTCTTGGAAACAGCCCCAAAAGCAAAACAAGGTGCAGTTCACAGAGCTCTTCACGCTAGTCCTGTGTCAAACAACACCAGCCTCGCACACACGGCCGGGCAGAGGCGGTCACCAAAGTCCTTGTGCTGGTGACGAGCCCAGGCTGGACCTCTCCTCCCCTGCCCGACCTGCACCCGCACTGCCCCAGCCAGAAACATTCCTTGTGCTCCAGCACCAAGCACCTGCACCACACACCTGAGCAGCAGCAGCTATGAAAGCCTCTTCTTCTCTTCAAAGTCTACTCAGCTTCTCCGAGCCCTCAAGACCCAAAAGACATACAGAGATCCAATCCCACCTTCCACATCATCTGAGCTGGGTCCAGCCTTAAGGCACTGTTTTTAGGTCTTTTTGTTCCCAGTTCCTCTGCGTCTCCCCCATCTCCCGCCTAGAGCAGCCTATGAACTGCTTGTGAGCCTATGAACTGAAGAGCCTTTTAATTGCAAATCAGGCAATATCCTCCCGCTAATTAAGTCTATCCCAGAAGAAATTAAGAGACTGAAGGGCTCATCCCACCACCAGCCCTGCTTCGCAAGTCACGGCCAAAGAGCATTCCCACGAGCAAGAGGTGGTGAAGCAAAGAGCTACGGCAGGGACCAAAGCCAAACGTCTGCAGGGTTTCAGAAGCGAGAGACTCGACTGATTCATAAAACTAGCAGAGCAGAAGCTGCGGCTGCTCGCCCGGGCATTAAGGGTCTCCCGCGGAAAGCACTAGGCTCCCAAACGAAAATATTTACGAGCGTTTCAGCGTTGCAGAGCGGGATCCACCGGGCGCTGTTGAGCAACGCGGCAGCCACAAGGTCGCTGGTCGCGCCCGGGCTCGG